CTCTGCAGGAGGAATACTCGAAAATAATAACAAATCGCCTGGGCACGATTTTTGGATTCGTTTTGCTCAGTCTTGACGATCTTTGCATACACGTCGTCGACTGTTTTGTATTTCTCGTCCAGGGTCCGCCTGCAGGAGGACGCGCCCGACCCAGCACTTGGACACCAGACGATATCCTCCCCTCGGGCACGCCGCTGGGCGCGAACCCCCGTGGCGTCCGTGGCCCACTGGCGACGGGTGGAGAAAAGGGGGCCTCGAGCACGCGGCCGAGGCCGCAGGCAGCGGGTGCGCTCGAGCGGGGGACGCCCCTCATTGGCCTCGACGAGGGGGCCCAGGCCACTGCTTCCACGGAGGCTCCGGCCCAGTCTTGGCTTCCAGTGGGGCGGGGGGGGCGGGGGCTGGGCGATCCCCTCCCGCTCCTTCAGCTCCTCCCTCCTCCCTCCCCTCCTCCTCCTCCTCTCCTCCTCCCCCCTCCTCCTCCTTCCTCCTCCTCCTCCTCCCTCCGCCTGCTCCTCCTCCTCCTCCTCCTCCTCCTCCTCCGCTGCCTCCTCCTCCTCCTCCTCCTTCTCCTCCTCCTCCTCCTCCTCCTCCTCCCTTCTCCTCCTTCTCCTCCCCCGTCTCCTCCTCCTCCTCCTCCTCCTCCTCTTCCTCCTCCTCCTCCTTCTCCTCCTCCTTTTCCTCCCCCCGTGGCGTTTCCCCGCAGCCCGCCCCGCCCGTGCCGCGGAGGCTCCCCCTCCCCCCCGCCCCCCAAGGGGTTGGCGCAGATGTGTCGGCGCTGAGGCCCAGCAGATCCTCCTCATCCGCCTCTCCCCCCCCCCTCTCGTTTCTAGGGAAACAACCAGTGACATAGACATAACAACTCGGAGGTCCGCGCGAATTTCTCGGATCGGCGCTGGGGCCCCCCGGCGGCGCCTCCGGCACCGCCCCTGGCGCGCTCCGCGCGCCAGGGAGGGGGGTCCAGCGCCGATCCGAGAAATCCGCGCGGGCATCCGAGTTTTTATGTTTATGCCACTTTTTGTTCCCCTAGTTTCGGGTTCCTGGGACGCTGCTCCTCTCTCTCTTCGTCCTCGCCCTGTCCCCCCTCCTGTTCTTTCTCTCTTCCTCCTCTACGCCCCTCGTCTCGCTCTCTCTCTCTCTCTGTCTGTCTGTCTGTCTGGTTTCAGGGCGGTGCTCCTCCTCCTCCTCCTCCTCCTCCTCCTCCTCCTCCTCCTCCTCCTCCCCCTCCCCCCTCCCCCCACTCCTCCCCGCTCCCCTCTGTAATGTTCAGCGCCCTCCCCCCGCTCCTCCCCCTGCCCCCTCCCCGTCCACCTCTTCGTCCCCCTCCTTCGCTTCCTCCCCCGCTTCCCTCCCAATGCGACGTCCCCATCCCTTGTGGGGTACGCAGACGGCGCCGACGCTGACGCTCACGTCGGATTCCTCTCCGATCCCAGTCCGAAGGCCGGCGGGTCTTCGATTCCGGTCCGATCCGATGCGCGCGTTTCCGACGCCTTCCAGTCTGATGTTGCACCAAAATCCTGGAGGCCTCGCGCGCCTCACGACAGGTGTACCATGTAGTGCGCACGTCCGCCCCGCCAAATGTGGGACGACGTTCGCGCGGCGAGGTTCCGACGAACGTCCGACGTAGATTCGAAAGGCACCAGCTACACATGTGCACCGATCCTGGCCAGGCCGATCCTGGGCCTAGGACCGGTGTAGGCATTCTGCCCAAGGCAGGAGGGCGTATGCACTGGTCGTGGGTCCTCGCCAGGATCGGTATTGGTGTACAGTTGGCGCCTTCCTACAAACCCGGTGTGAATCCGACGTTGGCCCTTTGCAGCCCGACGCGAACCAGGTGTAGTGTCAGCTTGTGATTAACAAATGGCCGGACCCCCCCACCCCGGGGCTGAGGAATAGACCCCGCGGGGCCCGTTTTTTTTCAAATCACGCGCGCCAGGGGGGAGGAGGAGAGAGGAGGAGGGAGGAGAAGGATGAGAAGGAGGAGGACGAGGAAGAGGAGGAGGAGAGGGGGAAGGAAAGGGGAGGTTGCGCAGCCTGCTGCGCGCAGCTGGTTTCGGTCGTCCCGTCGAAGGGCCAGTCCTCGACGCATGGCCGCTTTCGGCGCCAGGAGGTGCTTGGAAAATCGGCGACGTGAGCTGCTTGGCAAATCCACCCCTTTGCTGCGCCCCACTTTCTTCCGGCCCACCTTACCCGCAGGCCCGCATCGGTTCGACAGAAAGAGGGGCGCCCTGGCTCGCCCTTGCCTCCCGACCCCCCCCCCCTTACCTCTCGTTGGCGCCGCCCCGTTGATTTTCAATCTGGCGGGTGGCACCCCACGATTCGCCCGAGCAGGGGAGGTATTTCCCAACCATCCTGTGGTGTCGGGTCCTCGTTTTGAAGATACAGCGCCCGCGTCCTCCTTCCTTCTCCTCCCGCTGCCTCCTCTCCCCCTCCTCCTTCCTTTCTTGCGTTTCATCCACCCAGTACAGCGTTTCGTGGCCCCATAGGGAGCTCCACCTAAGGTCCCAGTGGCAGAACTCGCATGGCGGCCCCGCCCCATATCGGCACACCCCTCACACGTTTTGTGGCCCCATAGGGAGCTCCACCTAAGGTCCCAGTGGCGGAACTCGCATGGCGGCCCCGGGCCAGTTCGGCACACCCCTCACACGTTTCGTGGCCCCATAGGGACGCCACCTAAGGTCCCAGTGGCGGAACTCGCATGGCGGCCCCAGGCGATTTCGGCGCACACCCCTCACGAGGATCGTGGCCCCATCGGGAGCTCCACCTAAGATCCCAGTGGCGGAACTCGCATGGTGGCCCCGGGTCATTTCGGCACACCCCTCACACGTTTTGTGGCCCCATAGGGACCTAAGCTTCTGGTGGCGGAACTCGCATGGCGGCCCCGCCCCATATCGGCACATCCCTCACGAGGATCGTGGCCTCATAGGGAGCTCCACCTAAGGTCCCAGTGGCGGAACTCGCATGGCGGCCGGGGTCATTTCGGCACACCCCTCACACGTTTTGTGGCCCCATAGGGACGCCACCTAAGGTCCCAGTGGCGGAACTCGCATGGCGGCCCCGGGCGATTTCGGCGCACACCCTTCACGAGGATCGTGGCCTCACAGGGAGCTCCACCTAAGGTCCCAGTGGCGGAACTCGCATGGCGGCCCCGGGCCAGTTCACGTTTTGTGGCCCCATAGGGACGCCACGTAAGGTCCCAGAGGCGGAACTCGCATGGCGGCCCCGGGCGATTTCGGCACACCCCTCACACGTTTTGTGGTCCCATAGGGACGCCATCTAAGGTCCCAGTGGCGAAACTCGCATGGCGGCCCCGGGCCATTTCGGCGCACACCCCTCACGAGGATCGTGGCCCCATCGGGAGCTTCACCTAGGGTCCCAGTGGCGGAACTCGCATGGCGGCCCCGAGTCAATTCGGCACACCCCTCACACGTTTCGTGGCCCCATAGGGAACTCCACCTAAGGTCCCAGTGGCGGAACTCGCATGGCGCCCTGGGGCCATTATTTCGGCACACCACTCACACGTTTCGTGGCCCCATAGGGACGCCACCTAAGGTCCCAGTGGCGGAACTCGCATGGCGGCCCCGGGCGATTCCGGCGCACACCCCTCACCAGGATCGTGGCCCATAGGGAGCTCCACCGAAGGCCCCAGTGGGAAAGTTCGCATGGCGGCCCTGCCTCAGTTCGGCGAACGCCTCACGAGGATCGTGGCCCCACAGGGAGCTCCACGCCACAGTTCGGCACACCCCTCACGAGGATCGTGGCCCCATAGGGAGCTCCACGAAGACCCTCACGAGGATCGTGGCCCCATAGGGAGCTTCATCGAACATGATAACCGCATGCCGATGAGAATAAAGTATCCCCCCCCCTTAAGTCGTTAGAGTTTTTTTATCATCGACCAATAAGAGTTTGGTCGGGGGCGCGGGGGCGCGGAGGCCGAACTTCATTATCACGGGAAAAGTTCGCCATCGAAGTTACTTCCTTCTTATGTTGAGATAACAACATCAAGCGAAGCGAACACGTTGTTTCAGGATGTCTCAAGCGAAACCAATGTCCTTCTGTCTCTTTGTAGTTATTTATGTCTCTCATTCGTTCTTTCTCTGTCTCTCTTTCTCTCTCTCTCTCTCTTTGTCTCTCTATCTCTTTCTCCTTCCTGGCCTCTCTGTCTCTCTCTCTCTCTGTCTCTCTATCTCTTTCTCCTCCTCCTCCCCCTGGCGCCCTGAACTTGTTTATCGCTGGGGTTGATTATCCAGGGAAAACGAGGCACGTGAGCTACCCTACACGATCACTTAAAATTTTTAATTTTCATAAAGCGATTGTAAATAAAATTTAATACATTTGAATCTTCAGATGTGTTGTTTTATCCTCCTTTCCTCTTCTCTTTATCCTTATCATTTATTGTCGAGGGATTTGTCGAGGATGTCTCCAGCGAGATAAGCCATTGTTGAGGATATTTCTATGAAGACTAAACGCCAAGGATGTCTCAAAACGTGCTCGGCTTGGTCTCCTCTTGATCATCTCTTACTTCGAGATTATGCTGAGGTCTGGTGGGCTACTTTGATTATCTCCCCCTGAACCCCGAACTTTATTATCCCCTAGTGTTTATTCTCGAAGGTATTCGGTTAGTCACGACTGCGGTACTCACAGCTGGACATGGTTGGGTCCTTCGTCAGGCAAATTTTTTAAGCACGCGCCCCCTACTGATTTGTTAATCACAGGCTGACATTACATCCGACCTGGATCCGACGTAAAGGGGGCCTCCAGCTGCCGCGCGGGGCAGCCAGGCTTCCCTTCATGAGATCCGATGTGATGTCGAGTTTTCGACCCGATGGACGGCGACGCCGACAGCGGCGAACGCCTGCCCGAATCCCGGCCGCCCCAACACCGCGGGACGTCGACAGCGGCGACGCCATGACTACGCCGTCGATGACGCCGACGACGGCGGCGGCGTCGGTGGCGGCGGCGGCGGCGGCGGCGCCGACAGTTCCGCCCGTCCGCTCGTGCAGGAGCCAGCGCAGCTGGCTGAGGGCTGGCGCGGGGCGGCGGCGGAG